AGTCTTCATGACTTTTCTATTTTAGGATCTATAAACACATCAATTTCTCCCCTCCCCATTCATTATGCCCATCAGATAAAATTATCCTCTAAACTTCCTGTTATAGGAGTAGCTTTGATGACCTCTGTGTGTGGCAACTTCTCAGTCACTGCCAAGACATATAATCCCTCAGTGTCTTATCTCTTCTGAATTTTTGTTTTCCTATAGCAGTATTTAAAATACACTGCTCAACACAGAGGAGCTGGCTGAGGCTGCACAAGTAAACAAGACATCCACAGTCTGCCTTTGTATTGTGTCTTCTTGAGGTGGGTAACATGGGGCATACATTGTTGTATTTTCTTTTGCACAGTATGGCTGTCATAACTGTTCCAGCTCTGCTCCTTCTAAGATTAATTGTTCCTGGTTCTCTGAAGGATAAAATGAGCATTCAAAATGGCATGTATTCTTAAATGCTACAGATCTCTTGAGCTTTATTCCACATGTATTGTTTAACATGTTTACTTTTAATTGGTTTGGGTGCAGGAGGAAAAAGGGGAACAGTCTTCCCTAATGAAAAGAAAGGCAGTTTAGCATGATTCAGCAGTCTCTCCCCTGCCCCCACCCTGAATCTCTAGGCTTCCATTCCTGGACAAGGGCAAGTACCTAGGTTCCAGGTTCTATGAGGGTCCTGGTCTGGGCACCTACAGGAGGCAACCAATAAATGTGTCTCTCTTGCATAGATATTCATTCTCATTCTCTCTCTCTCTCTCTCTCTCTCTCTCTCTCTCTCTCTCTCTCTCCCTTCTTACCCCGCTCGCTTTCTCCCTTTCACTCTCATTGAAAATAAATGGAAATATTATCCTTGGGTGAAAATGAAATAAAATAAAAAAAGAAAATAGTAAAGAAGTTTAACACCTCAGGAGTTGAGTCTCTTCTTTCTCAAATTGGAGGATCCAGGAAGTGGCCTCTCTGTTGTGTTCATTGAACTTTTTATGGGACTTTGTCATAAACATTCTGGTTTCTTTACAACTTTCTAAGGAGTTCAAATAGTTAACTGCTCATTGAATATCAATGCCAGCTTTATTATCACCATGTTGGCATTTCCATTTTCTCCTGGTGAGTACATTTGCAATCCCGGATAGAGTTTTTCTCAAATCCTAGAAAATCCAGGCAAGATTTGGTATCATCTAGGTAAAAATTGGGGAAATTCATCTGCTTTGAAATTGAGAGTTGTTTATTGTGAGGCAACTGCATGGACACTGGAAACAACATTGAAATATTCAGTCTCTATTAATTCCCTTTATATTAGAATGATGTTAGCAAGTTATTATCTTTCTTGCTCTTCAGTTTCTTCATCTAAAAATGTCAGTAACAAAATGATACCTTCAAATGAAGGTGTTGTTGGGTTTAAATAATACAATGTTTTTTAAGACAAAGTTAGATCTACTGTACAAATTAGCACTGTTTAGAGATTTGGCAATTTGACTTTCGTATCAACAGTCAATGCCAGAGAAGGATCACTCATGCCATCTTGTGTCCTCATGAAAAGAACTGCATCCATGTCTTCTCACAACAGATGTGGAAATATCATTGGAGATACCAAGTTATTTAATGTCTTTTATTTGTTCAGGAGCTAAATTGGCTAAAATCTCTGATTTTTTATGATGCAGGCAAATCACCTCTCACTTACTAGGAAATGGAAAACATTTCAGTTTTGTTAATTATTATGAAATGAATTTTCATATGGTAAAATTCTTATAGTAAAATTGGTATGTTACAAAGTAAAATCCTAAGTTATTACCCTCTCCAGAGAAAACACAGAAATCCCAGAAAACCAGGAGCATATGTATTTATGCCTATAGTACTCATTTTAATGATCTGTATAGTAATCTACTGTGTGTAAGTACAGATAATAATTCAATTTTCTATATTACATATAAAAAGCATATTTATGTTTGCAACTTTTGTAATTATAGATTGTGAATCAGAAAATAAATAACCTTGTGCATATGTATTTTATTAAGAATTTTTTTGAAGAGCATTTTTTTGGTTCACAGCGAAATGGAGAGAAAGTGGAGAGGTATCTTATATCCCTATCTCTCCTGCCATTACACATGCATAGTTTCGACCATTATCAACATGGACAACAGAGTGGTACATTTGGTCAGAATAATGCAAACACATTAACACTTAATATTCACACAAAGTGTGTAGTTTATATTACAGTTTACTCTTGGTGTTGCATAGTCTATGAGTTTGAACAAATATGTAATGAGATACAGTAATAATTATGGTATTGCATATTTTTACTGCCCTAAAATTCCTTTGTGCTCCACCTATTCATCACTCCACCTCCCTACACCTGATAACCACTGACCTTTTTACTGTCTCCATAGTTTTCCCTTTTCCAGGGAAAGTTGGAATTATACAGTATGAAGCCTTTTCAGATTGCCTTCATTCATTTAGTAACAAATATTAAAGTTTCTCCAGCTATTTTCATGGCTTGATAGCTCATTTCTTTTTAGGTCTAAATAACAATCGATTGGCTGGATGTACCACGGTTTATTTATCCATTTACCTACTGATGGACATTTTATTGCTTCCATTTTGAGCAATTATGAATAAAACTGCTCTACACATCAGTGTGCAGGGCTTTCTTTTCTTTGTATTTTTTGTTTTTTTAGAGGGCACAAGATAGCAAGTCCTCTAGGTAAACATCAAAGAGCATTATTGCTGGATTGCATGGTAAATAAGTTTAGTTTTGTAATGACCTATGAAACTCTTTTATAAATGGTTGTTCTTTTATGCATTTCCACCAACACTGAAAGAGAGTTTCTGTTGCTCCACATCCTTGCAAGCATTTGGTTTTGTCAATGTTCTGGAATTTGTACATTCGAATAGGTGTGTGGTGCATTTCATTTTACAATTTATTTTCCTTGCGATTTGTATCAGTGGAGAATATTTGCTTATTTGACATCTTTCTAACTCATTTTGGGAGGTACCTGTTAAAGTCTTTGGCCCATTTTTAACCAAGTATTTGTTTCTGTTTTTCTGAATTTTATGATTTCCTTGTATATTTTGGATAATAGTCCTTTCACCAATGTGTCTTTTGAAAATATTTACTCCCAGATTGTGGCTTGTCTTCTCATCCTCTGATTACCATCTTTCACACTACAGAAGTTTTTTATTAAGTCTGACTTGTCAGTTATTTTTTTCCGTGGATCATGCCTTTGGCATTGTATTTTAACAGTATTCACTATTCCTGAAGTCATCTTATTTCCTAGGAGTTCTATAGTTTGCATTTTACATTTAGGTCTCTG